AGGACAGAAGAGACAGAGAGGCGGAAAAAAATAAAGGAGAATAAGGAAATAAACAATACACAGATAAAAGCTAGAGATAAAAGACTGTACATCCCGAAAAAAGAAAAAGAAATGCAGGAAATGAATCCCCAATAAAATCATAAAAGAAGTTAATGGAAAAAGCGTTTACGAAAGAGAGAGAGAGATAAAGAGAGAAAAGGGAGAATAAGAAAATTATGGAAATACAAGTAAAAACTAATCTAAGTTGACATTAAAAGAACATTTTAAACATTCTAAAAACATTCTAAAGAACATTTTTTTTATTTCTTTCAAAGTTAATATTTTCAACTTCATTTTTTTCAAATTATTTGAGTATTCTAGATGTTATCAATTTTATACAATAGTTAAAATAACAGTTAATAGTTAAATCTTACGAAACAAAATAAAATACGCAATATCATGTAATTTTTCCTCTATGTAAAATAAATAAATAAATAAGAATGAAAAATATAATAATAATAATAATAATAATAATAATAATGATAATAATAATAATAATGATAATAATGATAATAATAATAACAATAATAATAATAATAATAATAATAATAATAATGATAATAATGATGATAATAAAAACAATAATAATAATAATAATAATAATAATAATAATAATGATAATAACAATAATAATCATGATAATAATAATAACAATAATAATAATGATAATGATATAATAATCATAGTAATAATGATAATACTAATGATAATATTAATGGTAATAATAATAATAATGATAAAAATAATAATAATAATAACAAAAATATAAAAGCTATGATATAGACAATGTGACTGTTTCACAAGGGAATGTTGATAAGAAGCGTTTGAAATTGTTATAATTGTTTAACAAGAAATCAGTTGTAGTTAGAAAGACAGATAAGCCACTTTATGTATACATTATTAATTGTATGTATATGTATGTATGTGTATGTGTGCATGTGTGTGTGTGTGCGCGCGCGCGCGCGCGCGCGCGCGTGTGTGTGTGTGTGTGTGTGTGTGTGTGTGTGTGTGTGTGTGTGTGTGTGTGTGGTTCATTTCTAGATCTAACAATAATTTCACAAATAAACTAGAAAAAAATATTCAATATGATTTAATTTCGTTAAGTTCTCATTTAATAAAAAAAACATATTTCCCGTGAAGTGTCTTTATCCTTTCCGGTATTCAAGCTTTTATAACGAAATAGAAGCCCATTTGTCAGTCAGTAGACTTTACTGAACATACTCTAAAAAAACCTATTTCAAACTCTAGAACAAAATTCACAAAATTAGCTTGCATACAAAAATTATCGACTAGTTAAGCCAGTTTCAAAAAAGCTTGTTAGTAAACCCGATAGACGTCAGGCAGTTTGCATGGAGCCGCTTGGTAATAGTCTTATAACTTCGCCCATGAATTATTATTTTTTTTTACCGATAGTGAGTCTGAATAATGAGCTTTTGCGGGGGGGAGGGGGGGTCATTTTTTTTTATTTCCTTTCGAAAGCCGTTGAAAGTTCATCTGCAAGAAGACACAGAGATCCGCGACTTTGCTTGCATTCCTGGGAATCACGATGGATGGGAAAGAAACGTTCTCCTTCTTGTGCCGTATATGTATACAAATATGCATATATGTATATTTAATCACATCTATTCGTATCTATATGTGTTCATGTATATGTATGCATGTGTGTGTGTGTGTGTGTGTGTGTGTGTGTGTGTGTGTGTGTGTGTGTGTGTGTGTGTGTGTGTGTGTGTGTGTGTGTGTGTGTGTCGATAGACAGTGTAAGACGTCTGGTGTATTAGTCTCTTAATAGACAGGCGGGGCATGAAAAGGTTCCTCGGCTTTGAGTCTTTACTGACGTCATAAGGACACAGTCGGGCAACTGGGCACAGCGCGCGATCGGTGACGTGGCCGCTGTCTATCCCGGTGGCCTCTGGCTGTAGATGGTGACAATATGACGAAGGGATTCCTTACATCCTGTTTCTTTTCATACGCAAATGCAGATTCATGTCCGAGAAAATTACAAAGGTTACAGTTGTGTTGCACGAATATGAAAAGAATGTTTAAACAACGCTTTTTAAAATGTATTTTTAGTGCCAAGGGGTTTTATGCAGTTTTTTATGCATGAAATGATAACTAGCATAATACAATGATAGCTGTATATCCCGAAATATTATTTTATTATTCTCTCTGTTTTATTGTACCGGTGCCAGGTGCTAATGGAAGGCAGTGTTTTTCATCAACTAGTATTGTTTCAGATTGCAGTTGAAATCATCAATATGGATTAAATGTTTACAAAATCCTCTTCCGGAAACAGTGACAAAACTAGAATTACAGTGATATTTCCCGAAGGGCGGCGGCGCAGTCGGTGATCAGAGGACGTCGGCGGCGATCCGCGTGCACAAGGCGTAGATGCCGGCCCAGGAGCCTGACGACGAAGGACGTGGCCGCCTTGTGCACGCTCATCGCCCAGTCCGTGAAGGTG